ATGATAGAGAGAAACAATGCCATTTGTATCAACATGGTTGGACGTAGATTATACTAAGTAAGTCAGAAAGAGAAAGACAGATACCATGTGATATCACTTACATGTGGAATCTAAAATATGACAAAAATGAATTTATCTGTGACACAGAAACAGACTCACAGATATAGAGAATAGACTTGCTTAGCGGAAGAGGTGTTGAGGAGGAAAGGATTGGGAGTTTGTAATTAGCAGATGCAAGCTGTTACATATAGGATAAACTGCAGAGTCTTGTATAGCACAGGGAACTATATTCAATATCCTCTAATAAATCACAATGAAAAAATATGTATATATATGTAGAACTGAATCACTTTACAGTAGAAATTAACTCAGTGTAATAAATCAATTATACTTCAATAAATTTTTAAAAATAAATTTTAGAAAAGCTATACCAAAAAAAGCTATACAGTAGCATATATATAATATGATCCCATATGTGTAAAACAAACAATGTATATATTTGAGCTCTGTCTTTCTGTCTATCTTAAATATTCATATATAGTATCTGGAAAGACGTGAGAAAAGCCCCTAAGGGGTGACTGTGGGCAGGATGGCAAGAGAGGGATTTCATACCTTTTTGTTTCCTTTGATTGTGTTTTCCTTTTTTAATTTTCTCTTTCCAGTCTTTTTACATCTTCATCTTTGCTTTTGTTTTCCTCTTCTTCTTCTTTTTTTTTTTTTAAACAGGCTGGCGTGTGTCTCTGTCATTCTTTAAGTTTACATAAATGTACAGGTACATATAGGGAGCTTTGTTTTTATAAAAATAGGAAACATTGTAAATATCTTTTTGGAATTTGCTTTTCTCTCTATGGATATGTATATCTACAAGTAGATCAAGTTCTTTCTTTTTAAAGCTGTGTACAATACATACCATAATGTAATGGATCCTCATCTGTAGAAGATATTTTCTGTTTTTGCTCTAACAGATAATATTGCAGTGAATATCCCTGGATGTTTATCTTTCTACAATCTTGTGCATTGTGTAATATTAATACAACTGTAAGATATGAATCAGTGAATTATATATATTAAAGAATGTTTGATTGAGGAGGTGGGAGGAAGGCTCAAGAGAGAGGGAATATATATGCACATGTAGCTGATTCACTTTGTTGTAATGCAGAAACTAAACAACATTGTAAAGCAACTCTATTCCAATAAAAAAAAGTTTGATTGATATTGCCAATTGTCTGTTGTAAAGGTTATACCACTTCAGCAGCCTAGACACAGTTAAAACCAAGTCAGTCAGTTCATTCCCTTAGTTGCGTCCGACTCTTTGTCACCCCATGGACTGCAGCACGCCGGGCTTCCCTGTCCATCACCAACTCCTGGAGCTTGTTCAGACTCACGGCCATTGGGTTGGTGATGCCATCCACTTGTCTCATCCTCTGTCGTCCCCTGCTGCTTTCAGTCTTTCCTAGCATCAGGATCTTTTCCAGTGAGTCAGTTCTTCACATGAGGTGGCCAAAGTATTGGAGATTCAGTTTCAGCATCAGTCCTTCCAAGGAATATTCAGGACTGATTTCCGACTGGCTGGATCTCCTTGCAGTCCAAGGGACTCTCAAGAATCTTCTCCAGCACCACATTCAAAAACGTCAATTCTGCAGCCCTCAGCTTTCTTTATGGTCCAACTCTCACATCCATACTGAGAAAAATAATAGCTTTGACTAGTCGGCAAAGTAATGTCTCTGCTTTTTAATAAGCTGTCTAGGTTGGTCATAACTTTTCTTCCAAGGAGCAAGTGTCTTTTAATTTTATGGCTGCAGTCACTATCTGCAGTGATTTTGGAGCCCGAGAAAATAAAGTCTGTTACGGTTTCCATTGTTTCCCCATCTATTTGCCATGAAGTGATGGGACCGGATGCTATGATCTTAGTTTTTTGAATGTTGAGTTTTAAGCCAACTTTTTCACTCTCCTCTTTCACTTTCATCAAGAGGCTCTTTAGTTTTTCTTTGCTTTCTGCCATAAGGGTGGTATCATCTGCATATCTGAGGTTATTAATATTTCTCCCTGCAATCTTGGTTCCTGCTTGTGCTTCATCCAGCCTGACATTTCATATGATGTACTCTGCATAGAAGTTAAATAAGCATGGTGACAGTATACAGCCTTGATGTTCTCCTTTCCCGATTTGGAACCAGTTTGTTGTTCCATGTGTAGTTCTAACTGTTGCTTCTTGACCTGCACACAGATTTCTCAGGAGGTAGGTCAGGTGGTCTGGTATTCCCATTTGTTGAAGAATTTTCCACAGTTTGTTGTGATCCACACAGTCATAGGCTTTTGCGTAGTCAATAAAGCAGAAGTAGATGTTTTTCTGGAACTCTCTTGCCTTTTCAATGATCCAGGGAATGTTGGCAATTTGATCTCTGGTTCTTCTGCCTTTTCTAAATCTAGCTTGAACATCTGGAAGTTCTCAGTTCATGTACTATTGAAGCCTGCCTTGGAGAATTTTAAGTATTACTTTGATAGCGTGTGAGATGAGTGCAATTGTGTGGTAGTTTGAACATTCTTTGGCCTTGCCTTTCTTTGGGATTGGAATGAAAACTGACCTTTTCCAGTCCTGAGGCCACTGCTGAGTTTTTCCAAATTTGCTGGCATATTCACAGCAGCACTTTCAGAGCATCATCTTTTAGGACTTGAAATAGCTCAACTGGAATTTCATCACCTCCACTAGCTTTGTTTGTAGTGATCCTTCATAAGACCCACTTGACTTCGCATTCCAGGATGTCTGGCTCTAGGTAGGTGATAACATCATCGTGGTTATCTGGGTCATGAAGATCTTTTTGTATAGTTCTTCTGTGTATTCTTGCCACCGCCTCTTAATATCTTCTGCTTCTGTTAGGTCCATAGCATTTCTGTCCTTTATTGACCCTGATGCTGGGAAAGATTGAAGGCAGGAGGAGAAGGGGATTACAGAGGATAAGATGGTTGGATGGCATCACCGACTCAATGGACATGAATTTAAGTAAGCTCCAGGGGTTGGTGATGGACAGGGAAGCCTGGCGTGCTGCAGTCCATGGGGTCGCAAAGAGTCGGACACGACTGAGTGACTGAACTGAACTGAACTTACATGAAATGTTCCCTTGGTATCTCTCATTTTCTTGAAGAGATCTCTAGTCTTTCCCATTCAATTGTTTTCCTCTATTTCTTTGCATTGATCACTGAGGAAAGCTTTCTTATCTTTCCTTACTATTCTTTGGAACTCTGCATTCAGGTGGGTGTATCTTTCCTTTTCTCCTTTACCTTTAGCTTCTTTTATCTTTCCTTTTTCATTTCCTTTGGTTAAAACCAAATCCTGATTTAAATACAGTGCTTTCCAAAAGGAGCTTAGGAGAAAGACTGGTTCTGATCTGTGCCCGGTAAAGGATAAATTCAGCCTAGAAACAAGGAAGTCCTCAAAGACTAATGGGGTCTTGTCAAAAGGATACAACAAGCAAGGTGGAAGAGGCCATGTTTGCAAACTGACCAAATTGGGCATAGCTTGAACATCAAACAATCCCAAATAATAGATTCAGTAAGAATTTCAACAGATCAGTCCACCTCTGCTGTCAGAATCCATTCACAGTCCCTGAGTATTTAGCTGAACGAAAACTGTTTCTTTTTTCCAGAAATAATTTCCTTATGTAACATTTTTTGTATTCTGATGGCATTTTTGAAGAATTCCCTACACCTGCTTAGATCCATAAGCTAAGGAAGTCCCAAGTATGCCAGAAAGCCCTCAAATCCCAAGTGTTCACAGGAGATTTTAGGTAGGAGAGAATGGATTAGAACATTTCTGTACTTCTTAGATATTTAGATTGACTTCTATGTAATTACCAAAATTACAAATTTACAAAATTAATAGATCAAAAATGGTCAAATAGCAGCAATTTCTTGTTAGTGCATGCTTTAGTGGCAGAGGCTTAGTAGTACATTATCTTTAACTGCCAAACGATCTTTTTTCTCCCTTTGGTTGTAGCGTAAGATTTTCTCAAAGGAGAGAGGAAGGATCTGGATTGATCCAATTTTAAAGGGAATTGTGATGTGGAGTAGTATTGTAGTTGTCTTGGGCTGTTTCTTCATATCAAAAGTTCCACTCCCATCCCCCTACCCCCATGTACTATGGTTATCCTTTTAGTCACTTATTACCTCTTGTCTCTCTTCTTTCTCAGTAGTGGGAAATGAGGTGTAAGGAAAGAACATTCTTCTAGATCTTCTTTTTTCACTTTAAACTCTAGATTGGTCTTTTTGAATAGATTTTTTGCAGGGTCTTGAAAACTTGAGATTTCTAGTTTCCCTGGTTCATTTCCAAAGAGAGCACTTAGAAGTTTACCCTGCAATGCAGGAGACACGTGGAAGATCCCGCGTGCCACAGAGTACCTAAGCCCCTATGCACACAAGTACTGAGCCCACATGTGGCAGCTACTAACGCCGGCATCCCTCCGGCCCGTGCTCTGTCACAGAAGCCGCCGAATGAGAAGCCTGCACCCTGCAACTGGAGAGCAGCTCCAGCTTGCCACAACCACAGAAGAGCCCGCCAGCCACAAGGACCTAGCACAGCCAAAAATAAAAGGGGAAAAAATTTTTTAATATTTACCCTAGTAACTCATATAATATGGAAGGTAACATAGGTTAAGGGATTTCAGGTGCATTGTCTTTTATAGAATATGAATAATGAAATAATAACTCATGAGAGATTGGGAAGTAAAGTTTCAGGGTGTAAAGGGAGTGTCGAAGTTATGACATCATAACAAGATTCCTCCCTGGGATATGGCCCTTATAAAAAGGGCCATTAAGAAAGTGACTTCCTTAAAGAATGTTTTCTGAGCAACCATGTACAGTTTTACTATTTCCTCGAAGAAGTTCATTGGAAGACCTTACCCCTTAAGGAAATGTGGTCAAACCTGTATATAAATAGTTTTATTAAAATCCTTAGTGCTTGGCAAGCTGAATCATTGCCACCGTGAAAATTATTGTTTGTGTCCCAGACAGCTGCTCACGAAGCAATCCTCCATGCCTCTGGCAATGGCACACCTTCACCATCTAAGGACTACTGCATGCTATATAACCCTCACTGGACATCTCTTCCAAGTACCCTAGAAAATGCAGTAAGTAAATCACAGTTTCTATTTATTTATAACAAAATATTGAATGGTGAGAATGAGTGGTTATAATGTTTCCGTATGTAACCTAATTTTAACATTATGATTAATAAATATTTTTGCTTTTGCTTTAGTATTTTTCTCTTTATGAGAAAAACAAGTTATAAAATTAAAAAATACCTACCTCAAAGCCTGATTGTCATCAAATGTTTCTAATTTAAAGGAACTTTGTGTTAAACCAATGTTGATACTCTCTTTGAATGCCTTTAGGGTGAAATATGATATATGTAATATTAAAGACATTTCTTCTTTCCAGACTTCCACTAGTTTGATGAATCTGACTACCACACCACTCTGCAACATTTCTGATATTCCTCCTGATGGAATAAAGAACAAAGCAGTTGTGGTACCGTGGGGAACCTGCCATTTTCTGGAAAAAGCCAGAATTGCACAAACAGGAGGTGCTGAAGCTTTGCTGGTCGCCAATAACAGTGTCCTAGTAAGTTATTAAACTATAATGACTTCTTTTGAGTTCTTGGTATCAGATTTTACAGGAACTGAACTATATTCTTTGTGTGTGGTTTGGGGCTGAGTGTTTCGGGGGGTTTTTTGGGTTTTGTTTTAAACTCTTTGTTTTTCATTGGGATGTAGCCGATTAACAAACAATGTTGTGGTAGATTCTGAACAGTGAAGGGTCTCAGTTCAGATCAGTCACTCAGTCGTGTCTGACTCTTTGCGACCCCATGGACCGCAGCACGCCAGGCCTCCCTGTCCATCACCAACTCCCGGAGTTTACTCAAACTCATGTCCATCGAGTCGGTGATGCCATCCAACTATCTCGTCCTCTGTTGTCCCCTTCTCCTCCCGCCTTCAATCTTTCCCAGCATCAGGGTCTTTTCCAATGAGTCGGTTCTTCACATGAGGTGGCCAGAGTATTAGAGTTTCAGCTTCAGCATCAGTCCTTCCAGTGAATATTTAGGACTGATTCCTTTAGGGTTGACTGATTGGGGTCTCAGCCATACATATACATGTATCCATTCTGCCCCAAATTCCCCTCTCATTCAGGCTGCCACATAACATTAAGTAGGTTCCCTGTGCTATAGGGGCTGAGTTTTGAATAATATGATGGTAGTATTCTTAAACATTCTGGATATAAGAGGTGTTTAATTGGAAAATTTTGTTTCTTTTCCATTCCTAAAATAGACAAGATATGTTAGGAGTGTGTGTGTGTGTGTATATATAAAATAGCAGTTTAAATTTATGCTAAAAAGATTCCAGTTTGAATCCTTTTTAATATTATAATATTAAGAAAAAAAACACATGAAACATTGTTTTATAACTTTAAAGAGATATTTGTATTTAATGAATAATTTGTACTTTACCAGTAGTTCATAAGTTTTCATAATATGTTTTCTTTTCTTTTAGTTTCCTCCCTCAGGGAACAAATCTGAATATCTTGATGTGAAAATATTGATTGCATTTATAAACCACAAAGACTTTAAAGATATGAAGCAGGTAAATTAATAATTATCTGTTAGATAAAGTTTATAAATAGTGCAATTTTGTACTTTAAACCACTGATATTTAAATTGTTATATATGTTCCATTTGCTAGTAAGATGGAACTTGCTAGTCTCATTCAAGCCTTATTTAACCCCTCCCCATTTAGCACAAGGTGTTTCAGAGTCTTGATGTTTGAAAGGATATTGCTTTGTTTCAGCCTCTTTAAAATCTTTGTGTCATATCATTTATCTTAATTTTAAATCCTTGAACACAATGTGTGAAACACCACAGTTTTGCTTTTAATAAGGCAAAGCCTCATAATTTTGACAAGAGACTATATTGTGTTGTCAAAATAATTCTGTTATTCTTGACTGTCTTATATATCCTGTCCATTCCAGAATGAAATTGGAATACTGCTTCCATACTCTATAGTAAAAAGAAAGTGAATTCCAGTGTATTAACTGTTATTTTGCATTTCAGACTCTCGGAGATAACGTCATTGTGAAAATGTATTCTCCATCGTGGCCTGACTTTGACTATACTATGGTGGTTATTTTTGTAATTGCTGTATTCACTGTGGCATTAGGAGGATACTGGAGCGGGCTAATTGAATTGTAAGCTTAATTAAACTTCATTGTTTTTAAGATAAATAGTTAAAAAATTATTGTCTTTAATCATTTTATCATGTAACAACACTTAAAGTTCTACTTGTTCTCAGAATATAGTGCTGACAACGTTAGATTGCAGGTTTGTCCTCACATAAATCTTTTAACGTTTCACTGAGAAGAAGAAAGTCGTAGGTTCCTCTTGTTCTTCTGCTGGCAAGGAAACATTGAAATTTCACCAAAGTCTGTTAAATTAAAATGTTTAATTACCTCACCCAGAAAAGGTGGAGATAGTTAGCATCCTAATGTACCTATTCGCTTAGATTGAAAGAAAATAAACAGGGTGGAAATTTTTCAGCTCCTCCTGAGTTGAATCATTACAATGTGACCTCACCATTCTAGTCAGTGCTTTAGGAATTGGATATTAATTATGCATGTCTATATTTTAATTTAAATATAGAAATTTCAAAAGTACATGAAATTTGGATTTGTCTATTTAATAACAACCTAAACCCAGTGTTCTTACAGTTATGTACCTTTGCTGTAGATTAAAGGCAGTGTGGAGAAGGCAGTGGCACCCCACTCCAGTACTCTTGCCTGGAAAATCCCATGGACGGAGGAGCCTGGTAGGCTGCAGTCCATGGGGTCGCTGAGTCGGACACGACGGAAGCGACTTAGCAGCAGCAGCAGCAAAGGCAGTGTAGTTTAGAAGAATCAGTTCATTTTCTTAACTCTGAGTAAAAAATTGTGCTCAGAGCACATTATTTTGTGCATAAAGGACAATATGTTCACCTTGTGAGTTGATCTATAGATTCCACTAAGAAGGGCTTATTTGATGCCAGCTAAATCTAATAAGCTTATTTGTAATTTCTTAAAATACTAAAATTTGATTGACTTACAGTAAGAGAAATCTAACAAGCATAGATTCCTAGAATATTGAGCTTAAAATATTTTACATATTTGGAAAACACATTTCAGCATGTGTTAGTCACATGTCTTCACATAAGTAAGCATTATATTTTTCACTATTAATCTTTATAAAGCCTAGTATGGAAGATCTCCAAAATCATTTTCTAGATTGTATGGTAAAATGTTATAATTTCTGAAAAGCTGCTGATTCATTGAAAATGTTTTTCCATTTAATATAGATTCTCACTGTACTTACATTATTATGTAAATTGTTTCTTTTCAAAAGTAGTGCTGCTCAAGCTGTAATGTGAATACAAACTGTCTTGAGATCTCATTCAGTTCAGTTCAGTCACACAGTCGTGTCCGACTCTTTGCGACCCCGTGAACTGCAGCACGCCAGGCCTCCCTGTCCATCACCAACTCCTGGAATCCACCCAAACCCATGTCCATTAAAATTTTTAAAAATTAAGATTTAGTAGGCTTGGGGTGAATGCTGAGATTCTGCATTTTTTGACAAACTGGTCCGTGGGCTTTGAGTTAGCAAGGCAAGCTTAATGTACCTGTCAGGATGGGCTCCTTCTCAAGAAAATTGGAGGTGGGAGAGCAGTACATACAAGATGACTTAATCATAAAACATGATGATGGACAAAAACAAAAAATGTATTGCCTTCAGTAACTAGGTTGGGAAAAGAGATATCTTTTACCTGCAGAGTTAAGGATTTTGAAATTGAAGTGACCGATTCTGGAAGTAGGATAAAGATAGAAAAAACTAAGTGTATATGTTGTGGTTGGGAGTGACAGTATAGAGAAAGAGTATTAATCAATGATAAAATGGAAAAAGTTTCATAAAAAGTAGAGTTATTGACATAAGACCATTTACAACAGCATGGCTGGATTTTGAAGGTATTACTTATGTTAAGTAAAATAAGTCAGACAAAGATAAATACCTGAACATCTCATTTATGTGTGGAATCTTTAAAAAAATGAACTCACAGATGCAGAGAACAGATTGGTGGTTACCAGAGGTGGGGAGGTGGAGGGTGGGAAAAATGGGTGAAGGTGTTCATAAGGTACGGACTTCCAGTTATAAAATGAATAAGTCCTGGTGATGTACAATATAGTGACCATAGTTAATGATTCTGTCCTGCATATTTGAAAGTTGCTAATAAAGTAGTTCTTAAAAGTTCTCATCACAAGAAAAAAAAATCTTTTTAACTCTGTGCTGATGGGTGTGAACTAAACTTATTGTGGTAATCATTTTGCAATATATACAATTATCAAATCATTGTGTAATACACCTGAAATTAATGTTATATGTCTTCTATATCTTAATTTTTAAAAATAACACAGGAACAACTATTTAGCAAGTAAAGAGAGTTAGGCTGAAAGAGAAGGGAAAAGAGAATATGGCTTAGGGAGGGAAAAGTTTACCAGAACAGGACCTTATAACCCAGAATTAACCTGCCAAATGAAAGATGTACTTTATGCAAAAAGATGAAAAATGCCTTGATTCAGTATAAAGACTTTTCAGTAGAGAGTTAAACTCCTGTTATAATGAGCCCTCATATAACTGGTGAAGAAGAAAATGGCCACCTACTCCAGTATTCTTACCTGGAAAATCCCAGGGATGGAGGAGCCTGGCACACTACAGCCCATGGGGTCTCAAAGAAGTCAGACACAACTGAGCAACTGAGCATGCATGCATATAACTGGTCCTCATCATAAACTCAAGGTGACAGGAAAGAAAGCTTAGCTTCCTATTGCCTGTGGCTCTCGACCTGATTTGAATACAGTTTTTTAAAAAAAGATGAGTTGTATTATTTTAACATGGTATAAACCTAGAATATATTTTCCTTCAATAAATTACCTGGTATAAACTGAATATGAATATATAGCCTTTTGGTTATTGTACCTTATATGGGTTCTGTGATAGAAATGTCCTTAAATAAATGTTTGCAATTATTTTATCCAAAGGTGGGCATGTTTTCCCACTCAGGTACCACTTTTGTTGAAACTCTGTTAATACACTGTCATCTGGCGCTACAGTTTCAGGGAGGTGCTGTGTGTTCCTCCTCAAACCTTCTCCCTGCTCCTTTCCCAGGCAGCCTCCCTAGAGTCACAGATGTGTAGAATAGTAACCATCTTGATACGCAGTTTTCTGATAAAGTAGTATGTTGATAAATAAGCAATTTAGCAAATGTACAAGTTGATAGAAATAAATCTTTTTTTTTTTAACCTCACGTTTATATTGAGCCCAGACCTGGTGAAAAGGATCAGGATACATGAAAAAGGAACAGGGAACACCATTTTACACTTGATCTTAGCCAAAAGGCCGAGAAGCGATCAGGAATACTGTTTTAGTAGACCAGAGTTGAAGGGACTGGCGCTGGAAAAGTATGTTAGTGGCTTCTGTATAACTGGGAAGGGACAAGGTGACAGAACAGAAACTGTTCAATAAAAGAAGCTTGTGACCCTTTCCTCTTCACCTCCTGTGTCTGCCTTTCACTAGTTGTGTGACCCCAGAAGGGGTATTGGGAGAATTAAAACAATATTTTGCTACCTTGAATCAGGGTAGGACAAAGCTATGTCTTGAACTTCTTTTGAATCCTTCATAATATGTTGAAGAGCACCATACAGACTTACAGTGAATACTGAGCTGACTGATAGAGTAAGTTAGTGTTTTTACATTGAAGAGAAGCTACTTTTAAAAGTAGTTTACTACCTGCAAGTTGGTAATATTAAGTGTGTAAAAAGAATTGGTTTTTATTTGAAACATTACATCAGTGTAGTTTCCAAATTAGATAATATAAACATCACCAAAAACATTAATTTTTTATGTAATAAATATCTTCTGTTTCAACAGTTTTGTCTCTAGAAGAAAAGTTTCAAAAGTTAGTGGTTAATAACACACCAACTCTGAAGGGTAGAATTATAGAGAGTTTTTACTTCTAGATTTAAGTATTTCTTCATGGTGTATAACTGTTTAAGTATGTTAACTTTGTAATCAGAAACAACTTTAAGTTAGTATTACAGATAGATTTTAAAAATAACTGTACTTGGCAGAGATTGCTGAAGTTTCTGTGTGTGTTTATGCAGGGAAAACATGAAGGCAATGACAAACACTGAAGACAGAGAAATGAGGAAAAAGAAGGAAGAATATTTCACTTTTAGTCCTCTAACCGTTATAATATTTGTGGTCATCTGCTGTATTATGATGGTCTTACTTTATTTCTTCTACAAATGGTTGGGTAAGAAATCATTTTATATTTGCTACTTTTTAGCATACAATCTTTTCATTTACTTTGCCAGATTTATCTTTTCCTTTAAGGCATTCAATTGGAAAACTTAAGTGAATAATTAAAAAGTGATATTAACTTTTAAACTGTCGAAAGTGTTAGGTCGCTATTACTCTGGGATTTAAAAAAAAAAATCTGATTTAAAATACACTGTGACTCAAAATAAGAACACTTCTTCATGGACAACCTGAAAGAATTGCTACAGTCCCTAAGTTTTCGTCTTTGCAGATAAAGCATTATAGACTGGGGGTATCTAAGCAGCAGACTAAGGATTTCTTGGTAGCTATATACAGTTGCATGAAATATAATAGAAGATTATTCAAATTATGAATTTACTGCTTCTGCTTATTCCTAAAGTGTGATTGGTCCTTTTTGTCAATTTGCAAATCAAAATGTTGTATTGCTTAAATTTTGTTTTACTTGTGTGAACATTAAGATCATACTACATCTAAAAACACACAGGTACTTGCTTGTAGTCTAGAGAATAAATGATACTTTTTCCTTTAGGAAGGAAGGGGTCATGGCTTGCCCATCCCCTGAACAGTCTACTTAGTGTTCTGATAAGATGGAAATTTGCCATTTGTGGCCAATACATAGCAGAAAGAGAATGGAGCCCAGGAAAAGAGTGTGCCTAATGAGACTTAGCCAAAAACTCTTTGTGAAAACCACCACAGGCTACAAAATGTTTATTTAGAGAATAATAGTATAAGTTTCTGGAAAACTGAGGCCTTGGGTTAGTTTCACCTTAGTTTTCAATTTCTCCTCTCCTATGGTAGCAGTTTTAAAACTATACTTATATATATTTCCAATTAGAAAAAATTATTCTTGGAATATCACTCATATTTCAATATGTTGCTGGGAGAGTGGATACCATTGTGGTATTTGTATTATGTCGTCATTGCACAGCTAATTTTTCTGTTTTAAATTCTCAGCCTTCAATTTTGTGTCTGACCCTCAGTTGATATATTTAGTGGTCTTTAATAGAACAAAGAGATTTCTCATTACTATTTAAAAATTGACCCTGTTTATAACTGTAATTTTCAGTGTAGGAGGAGGAAGATCATTAAACCTCATGGTTATCCCATGATATGGTGTCTAATTGTGACTCTGACAATGGTGTGTGATATTGTGAAATTTAATATACTTTCAAATGGTTTCTTATGTCTAAAATTGATGCCATTTCTTAATATGTTCAATGTATTAAATTGCTAAGATTCTCCATACCGTTTTATGTTAAGTCATGCTCAAGAAAATAACTAAAGATGGTTATGTTTACCAAATTCTCTCTCATGCCAAATCATTTTCTTAGGTATAGTAGGATACTAAAACTCTGGTAGGGCTTCCACAGCATGACTTCCACTAGAGTTTAAAATCTTGGTTTGGAGACCTTTGGTGGATGACTAAATAAACTCAACTTGGCAATCTTTGATTGTCATTCTTACTACTTAGATTGTCATATATATGCAATAATAACAAATAAGCAAATGAAAAAATATTTTGTCCAAGACCACCAATTAGAAAATGGTTAATTTACTGCCCCTATTTACTGTCTCTAGTTTGCTGTCTTTTCTCACATACAAAACAAGGTTATAGTTTTCTGAAATCTAGTGGTTTTGCAAAATTCAGTTAAAATTTATATTTCCATTGTAAAATTTTGAGAAATTTCACAAAGCAATACTTTTAGAGTATGATAATTTCTTCCTGTTTTTAACAACAGCAAGATCAAATGTTTTTAAGTAATTTTCAACCAAGTATAGCTAATATAGAAAAACATTTGTGAATTTTAGTACCTTAATATCATACCTAGACAATGAGGTTTGTTTAAGTGGATTTGGTTTTACCACATATAAAGTTATTAGAGATGAATTCCACCATAGGAAAATGTAGACATCATGATTAATGTCTAAGGTAGGTGGAAGTTCTCCCCTTTAAGCTTTTTAAAAATATTTTAGGGACACATGTATACCTATGGCAGATTCATGGTGATGTATGGCAAAAGCCAGCACAATATTGTAAAATAATTATCCTTCAATTAAAATAAATAAATTTTTTTAAAAAGTAAAACATTTCCACTAAAAAAATAAATAAAAAGTATTTTAAGTGGTTTATTAATTCTTCCATTTGCTACATTTAAATTAAATACAAATGTCTACAACTCACTTCATAGACATCTTTAACAAACATGTGACTTTGAATCATTGAATGATAAAATGCACAGCTACTAACATAAATCCTACCAATGTTTTCTTAGGTCAGTCTCTGAAGGCAAAAGAGATAAAAGCAAAAAGAAACAAATGGGACCTAATAAAACTTAAAGCTTTTACATAGCAAAGGAAACCATAAACAAAACTGAAAGACAGCCTATGAACTGGGAGAAAATATTTGCAAAAGATGCAACCAACAGGGGTTAATATCTAAAATACACAAACGGCTCATACAATTCAATATCAAAAAAACAAACCACCCAATCAGAAAAAGGGCAGAAGACCTAAATAGACATTTCTCCAAAGACGACATACAAATGGCCTATAGGCACATGAGAAGATGCTCAACATCACTGATTATTAGAGAAATGCAGATAAAAACTACATGAGGCTTCATCTCACACCTGTCAGAATGGCCATCTTCAAAAAGTCTACAAATAATAAAATTTTTGAGAGGGTGTGGAGAAAAGGAAACCCTCCTATCACTGTTGGTGGGAATATAAATTGGTGTGGCCACTATGGAAAACAGTATGGAGGTTCCTGAAAAACTAAAAATAGAGCTAACGTATAATCCAGGAATTCCACTTCTGGATGTTTATTCTAAGAAAACAGAAAACTTAAGTAGAACGTGTGTGTGCGCCCTTACGTTCATTCGGGGCTTCCCTGGTGGCTCAGACAGTGAAGAACCTGCCTGTGTTGCAGGAGACCCAGGTTCAGCCCCTGGGTTGGGAAAATTCCCTGGAGTAGGAAATGGCAACCCACTCCGTATTCTTGCCTGGAGAATTCCATTGACAGAGTAGCCTGGCGGGCTGTAGTCCACGGGGTTGCAAAGAGTTGGACACGACTGAGCAGCTAATACTGTCTTTCTACTTCGATGTTCATTGTGGCGTTATTTACAATAGCCAAATTATGGAAGCAACCTAAATGCTCATCAATAGATGAATGGGTAAAGAAGGTATGAGAAATATATATATAATGGAATATTACTCAGTCATTAAAAAACAATGAAATAATGCTATTTGCAGTAACATGGGTGAACCTAAAGATTATTATGCTAAGTTAACTCAGACAGAAAGACAAATATGATATCATGTATGTGGAATCTAAAAAATAATACAGATCAACTTATTTACATATTAGAAAGATAGACATAGAAAAGAAATGTACAATTAAAAGGGAAAGGGAAGGGATAAAGGGATAAAGTAGCAGTATAGGATTAACAGATATACCCGACTATTGTAAAGATAAACAATGAGTATTATATAGCACAGGGAACTATATTTAATATCTTGTAATAGCCTGTAATGGAAAAGAATCTGAAGCTGTACACCTGAAACTAATACAGTATTATAAATCAACTGAAATAATAAAATTTTTTTAAAAAGAAAAAAAACTGCAGAGCTAGCTTCAACCCAGAAAGAAATCCTAGTAGTGTGTAGTGGAGCTGAAACAACACTTGAAATACCACTCTTAAAGCTCAAGATCTAAGTATGTTCAGTTTAGTAACCAATTCAGATTATGATATGGTCACTGCATTGAAAGTATTACGATCTAATAAGAAAGCTAAAGAACTAATATTAATTGTATAAAAGTTTTCTTATCATGTTTCCTTATCGTGTTTGCTCTGTTCTCATATGATTTGGTGTCTTTTTTTCTAGTTTATGTTATGATAGCAATTTTCTGCATAGCATCAGCGATGAGTCTGTACAACTGTCTTGCTGCACTAGTTCGTAAGATACAATGGGGACGATGCACGTATGTATCTCTTGTGAGGAAGCCCATAATATTGGTTTTTGTAATTTAAAACAATACAAGGAAAAATAGGAGCTTTGTTGTAAACCTTTGAAGTCCAATATACATGTTGCTATTTTAATTAAAAATAATTAAAATTAAATAAAATTAAAAATTCAGTTGCCCAGCCCCATTAGCCACGTTTCAAGTACTAAATAACTACATGTGGCTAATGGCTGTGGTATTGGACAGCACAGAAATAGAGCATTTTCATCAATACAGTTCTGTTGAACTGGTGGATATTCTATTATGCATCATTCATTGTACTTAAAGTCAAGGCTTTAAAATTGACTTTTCAAAAACTTTCTTCTCACTGTGGCAGACATTCATTTGTTACATTAAGTGAACATTGTATTTCATCTTTAGGGTAAATTAATTTATTTCAAACTGTCTTTTAGGATTACCTGTTTTGGCAAGAGCTTTGAAGTGAGACTTTATTTTCTCTCTGGACTGTGCATAGCAGTAGCTGTTGTTTGGGCTGTATTTCGAAATGAAGATAGGTATGAATACTCACTGTATTTCCTTTTAGCTTAGACTAAGGGTGGGTTGTTTCATATCTTGCCTTGATAATTGTTCATCATGGATTTTTTTTCCCCCAGAACATCCTAGTCTTGAAACATGCCAAATACTTAAATAAAGAAATCTTGTGCTAATGGATTTGAGGTTGTCTAGAGAAGGAAATGTAAACTAGGATTTAGACATCTAAACTGAAATAGGCTTCAAAAATACACTTATTTATGGTATAGCCACACAGTGAAGTGCAATGCAGCTGTCAAGAACAAAGATTTCTGTGAATTGATATGCAGTGATTTCCAGGATATATTTTTAACTGAAAAAAGCCAAATATGCAAGAATATCTAGCATATGCTACCTTTCATGTGAGAAAGAAAAAAATATAAGAAAATATACAGGTTTCTGTGTGTTTGCAGGAAGGATAAACAGAAAATAATTTTAACAGTTTATTTATAAAATTATTAAAACCCCAAAGGATGTAATGGCCCAAAATTTGGGAGCAAAGTTCATACAATTGTAGGCAGCTCCAAGTATGATAATCAGTTGGTAATTATTCATGCTATTATTTCTGGTAGAGTTTGATGTGTAGCTCTCATTTCCTTTATGCTTTAGCTATCTGGATGTATATTAACATTGTATCCTTTGTTATGAGCTACCTTTCTAAAAAGAGACATGTAAAATTCAAAGATTAAGGATAAATATGTACTTTTGTCTGATACACTTCTGAAGCAGGCTTTCAGCTTATCTTAGCACAGTAGTATTCATTATTCTACTAGAACAATAAAATATGGAGACTCTTAAGAGGTTTTTCTGTTGTTATAACTGCTACTTAATAGTTGAATAGTCAAATCATAGCAATTGAACAGTATTGCTTTAGTGATATGTTTCTTTTGATATGTTCCACTTAAAAATAACTGGGTAAAACAATAGAGTAATTTCTTTTGATTTTAGGTGGGCTTGGATTTTACAGGATATCTTGGGGATTGCTTTCTGTCTGAATTTAATTAAAACACTGAAGTTACCCAACTTCAAGGTAAAGTAGACTACTTTGCTAGCTAAAATATTGCTTTCTTTTTAAAACAATTTTATTAAGGTATAATTTACAAATAATTAAATGCACCTATTTTAAGTGTACAGATTATCAAAACTTTACAAATATGTAACTTTGTAACCACTATCCCAATCGATTATAAAATATTTCTTACCTCATCAAAAGCTCTATCATGACCTTTATCAATCAGTCCTAATCCCCAACCCATGAAACCACTGATTTGCTACATAAAATATTTTTTTTACATAAAATATTTTTAATCATTCACATACTATGCCAAATTCATATAATCCGTACAAGACTAAAATCAGGGAAGAACATTTCTTTGCTTCAGTGATTCTTTTTTAAAAGAGTGGATTGAAGCAGATAAAGTTTTAATGTGATTTATAGAATAAAACTACAAATAGTAATAAACATTAAATGTCTTAAAAAGTAGTGTTTAAATATATGTTACATGTTTATTTGTATTTGCAAAATAATATCTCTTAATTTAAATATGAGAAGTTTGACCTTTAAATTTGTTTCTTTCTTCAACAGTCATGTGTGATACTTCTGGGCCTTCTTCTCCTCTATGATGTATTTTTTGTTTTCATAACACCATTCATCACAAAGGTATGATATTTTTAAATGCATAGAAAACATACTAAATGATTAGAATCTTAAATATGCTCTTAGAGTATTGATTTTCCAGATGTTTACCATTGACTGGGTAATTCTCTTAAGAGAATTGTCATTAAAATTGGCCTTTTACATCACCTATTCTGCCATTGAACCAAATAACAGCCATAGGCAAAGCATTGACACCAAGCTAACTGAAATAGTTATAGACGATACCCTGGACGGTCCCTTTAGCAACTGTACATATTTCTTTTTAGAGAACTCTTAATGACTTTCATTGGACACTAGGGATTTGAAACCTGCGAAACCAGTTAAGCTATCACTAGTGTGCTCTGTAGAAGGATGAATTACTTGACTTCGGTTTCATCTGAGCGGAATTTGTCGTCAGCTGTGGATTGTCATGTGGCACCAGGAACTCTTAAAAACTGTGACACTAACAGTGAAACAAACCGAGGGAAAAACTGTCGCTTTCTGCACTTTGGCCCCATCTTACCAGTCTTTGTCAAGGGCAATATTTTAACACTAATGTTTCTCAGGTATATACTCAGCTAGTGTAGGACGGTTGTGCATCCGTGAAAGGATCAAAGAAGAAGGTGGCCTTTGGGTGGCTGTCATTTCTCCTACTGCCACAGAGAGAAGTTTTTAGAGGTAGAAATGAAGTCTTTCACCACCTTCCTATCTGCAAAGATGTGCGTTGCCATAAGCTGTCTTGAACGTGGGATGTGTCCTAAGAGATGGCAAGTCAGATAGCCAGAAAGCCAATCACTAGTAGTTAAATTTTTTTTTCCCCTTGTAAATTTGCTCACTAAGGTCATTGGGGTTTTGAAATGGACTAAAGAAGATTCCTGGAAAAAAAGAAATGGATTCTAGACTGGATGCATAAATCTGTGCCATTTCCTTTAAAAAAAAAAAAAGGCCTTTTAATATTTTAATAGAGGATATTTTTAAGCTTTTACACCGTTTTGCTAAAAAAAAAAAAAGCTTCCTGATTGATGTAAACATGACAATGTCTATAAGTTTTCTTCCTACACATTTTAAAGTAACTTTTCTTCCTTTTATAAAACAATAAATATTTGTTGTAGATAATACAGACAGCAAAAAAGAATGAAAAGCTGTCATTGCTTCTTTCATTTCTGTAACCCTAGTGTGAGACTAAGAAAGAGCCCAACACTGGAAGTCTAGAGACCTAAAGTGTAGATCTGTAACTCTATAACCCTGAGCTGCTAGTCACTTAGCCCTCAGTTTCCTAATCATTTGAGTGAAGGGAGTATTGCTAGCATTCTATCCTGTTTCCATCAGTAGAACTCTTTTGGTTGCTTCTGCCAGAATCCAGCCTAACATTTCTATATGAAAGAGGTCCCATCTATTCAGAATATGTGCAAAGGCCAGGGAGGGCCTGTCCTCGGGAGAAACTAGACCCAGGGGCACATACTCTTCCTTCCCGCTTCTGTCCACCTTTTCGTTGTCTCAGACTGGCTTTTTCCACGAGGTTAGAATCATAGCAACTTGAAACTCCTAGGTCATCTATTCCCAGCTATGCCACTAGCTCCTCAATAAAATCATAGTGCTGTCCTTAGAATAAGGGAGAGGTGTTGGGTGAGTGTGGTAGTCCTTCATTATTGGCCCAGTTTTTCTACCTTGTCCCTATTCCTGTCTCATGAATGTGTTATTAATTATTGATTAATTCTTCTACCTTGTCCCTATTCTTATCTCATGAATATATTACTAATTATTGCTTAACTCTTCTACTTTTCCCACTTTGAGTCTCACTTTCTAACTTTATATCATTTTTTTATCCTTTGTCACTTTCATACATTTAGTATTTTATAATGACTTTTCCCCCTTACAGTAGTTCTTTATTTTTTAACCTCTGCTATCTGTGAAATATCTACATTTCTGATATTGGCTATGATGGCATAAGACAAACATATGCCCCATTGGGGAGCTAAAATTGCAACTAGGTAACAAATGTAATTAACTGTCCCAAAATACTAGTACTTCTTTATGCTTTAATGGTGAACCATCTGGCTCATTGACTTAATTTGCAGTGGTAACCTAAAAAAGCATAGAACTAGTATAATGAGTTATAGCAAAAGCTGTTAATTTACTAAAGCATATTTTGAAGTTTGGTCTAAACTTGTTCTAGTTGTTCTAGCTTGTGTCAATTTATTTGGTTTAAAAATGTTTCTATAAGTCACTCCATCACAGATCTCATAATGAAAGTAAAGCACTCTCTCTACAAAACCATTCCCATAGGTTAATGGGTAGTCATACCGTATGACTACCTGTTTAGGCTTCCCTGGTGGCTCAGATGGTAAAGAATCTGCTGCAATGCAGGAGCCCAAGGTTTGATTCCTGGGTTGGAAAGATCCCCTGGAGAAGGAAATGGCAACCCACTCCAGTATTCTCACCTGGAGAATTGCATGGGCAGAGGAGCCTGACGGGTTACAGTTCATTGGGTTGCAAAGAGTTGGACACGACTAAGTGATTAACACTTTCATACCATATGACACTTACATTGCACAGTGAACATAAAAGTTATAAATAAACTCTTTTCTAAAAATAAATTTTCCATTGTGTTTTAACACTAGTATCACTTTATAAATGCCAAACTTGTCTGCCAGCAAACTATGTCCATTCTGTACACATAAAAATGTCAGGATTTTAAAGGTATATATGGTAATAGTAAAGATGTCTTTGAGTCTTCGTTCTTCTGTGCCTAGGGAATTTTTCTTCTTTTTTTTTCATCTTTGATCCCACTGACTAGAAGTGTGACTTCTAGTAATATAACCCAATGGAAAAGATTGACGTGCTCTTTGGAGTTCACTCTTGTAGATTTACCTAAACACTGTCTTCTCAGTTTGGTTTGTTAGGCAAATCAAAATGAAAATCAGATACATGATTTCTGATTTTTGTGGTTTTCACTGTAAGTTTCAAGAATTAAATATTAGACATTCTAAATATCTTCTTGACCCTGGTATTAGCAGATTTTTAATGAGTTAGCAGGGCAGGTAGAATAGGAGTACAGGTAGTAAGAGCCTGTCTTGGTTTTTTTTTTTCATTCATCTACCACCATACTTGGTATAGTGTCTTGCAAATAGTAGTTTCTCAGGTAGATATCTTTGAATGTATGAGAGGATGTCAGTAATAGTCTTCAGTTAAATGTTTTCAATAGCAATTTGAAAATGAACCAAAATAACCTCTTTATCTGAAAATTGAATCACATCATAGGAGTTTCCTGTAAGCAACTGTATTTAATATTAGTTTATTTTCATAAACTCCTGTGATTTAACCCTTCTGTAACCCAAAGCTTAACATGAGGAAAAGATTTCTGTAGCCAAGGAATTTATTCTTTTTTCTACTCAACTCAGGTATCAGTGAAATCCTCTTAAAAGTGAACTCAGGTAATTTATTCTATGCTCCCCACACCCATGAAAAATAGTATAGCTAATCAATCAAATTCTCCTAAAAATTCAGCATTTGTTTATCTTCCCATGACCTGTTTGGGGCATTATTTTAAGTGTAAGATGGGTGCTCATGCAGTCTTAGCTTGCTCCATCTAAATGTTTCCCCTCTTCCCAGTAGACTTTGCTGTCAGGAAAGAACTTTTTAATGAATTTCTCACACAGCCCACATAAAAAGACCTTAGACATGCACAAGGAAAAAATTCTGCTAAGGTTAATGCTTTGATTGGTGCATTAAGAGCAGGCAAAGCTGAAATTGGACAAGAGTCAGGATAGAGACATATTCTCAAGTTCTTTAGGGCTTAATCTTTTCGAGTTTGGCTTCATTGTTATTGTGGTGAGTAGACAGAAGGTTAAAATATGTATTTAAATAAAGTCATCGATTTATTACAAATCTGTATATAAAAAATTTCAGTATTTCTTCTGTCCCTGTTCATTGTTATTGCTAAAAATAACTATGACACATAGTATATGACATAAGTAAAAGCACTTAAAATGTATAGCCCATAGAAGAAATGCTAGATATTAGTTGTCAGGATAAATCTGTGCTCAAACCTTCAGTTGAATAATTTTTGTGTGGTTTATCTGTAAGTTTCTCTTATTTTTTGAGCTCTAATAAAGTGAAGTAGCATGCTAGGTGAAATTTGTTTTAAATAACTCCAATTTTTGTTATCTACAGAGACCATTTTAGAAAAAAATCAGTCTACAGATGACTTTCCATCAGCTTATGGTAGGCCATAGCCATGGCAGGAGATCATGAATGTGTGTGTGTGTGTGTGTGTGTGTGTGTTCAATCATGTCCAGCTCTTTGCGACCCCAAGACTGGGGCCCACCAGGCTCCTCTGTCCATGGGATTTCCCAGGCAAGAATACTGGAGTGGGTTCCCATTTCCTTCTCCAGGGGATCTTCCCGACCCAGGCATCAAACCCACATATCTCGAGTCTGCTGCATTGGCAGTCAGGCTCTTTACCACTAGCGCCACCTGGGAAGCCCTAGGTCATGAATACTTGCAGATTGTTCACTTTAAGTGATTGAACAATTTCTTTTACCTTTCTTAATTTTAGAATGGTGAGAGTATCATGGTTGAACTTGCAGCTGGACCTTTTGGAAATAATGAAAAGGTAGGGGTGGCAATTAAGTACAAATGGCTGCCAGTGTATTTGTGTGTGTCCGGTTAATAATTTTGCCTTCCTGTGTAATTCATTGGTCATGTAGTGCATGTTAAGGTATTGTAAAGCTTTGTTTCTCACAAAATATAGCCCTTTTGTTAGTTATTCTAAATTATTAAATACCTATTGACTTGGGTTTCATCCTAGAATGATGGAAACTTGGTGGAAGCCACTGCTCAACCATCAGCTCCCCATGAGAAAGTAAGGATTGTATTTCAGATATGTTCATTGGACTTTAAATCATACCCTCTCAGACAAGACTCTTCTTTGGGGAAAAAAATCCAGATTGTTTAAAAAAAAAAAAAACTCTTTCAAGGCCTGAGTCCTCTATTTTTGGTAAAAAGGAAAGAAAAAAACGTTAGATATGGGGATACTGGATTCATACTCTTAACCCTACATGTGTGTTGGGTTTTGTTTCTCCATAACTACATATCTATGTCTTTCAAGCTTTCTATATATTCAGAGTGTATATATGTTTAATTTATGTTCTCTGATTTCAAGCTTTTTTCCTCCTCATATTTCTAAAATGTTAATTTTAAAACATTAAGTTATTCTAACATCAATCCTTCCCTTTCTGAAGATATGGGTAAAGATTCCTAAGAGGTTTATTGGTGGTCTCTCTCTTTTTTTTTTTTTTTGTAATTACAGTTACCAGTAGTCATCAGGGTACCAAAACTGGCCTATTTCTCAGTAATGAGTGTGTGTCTCATGCCAGTTTCAATATTGGGTTTTGGAGACATCATTGTACCAGGTAAGCAGTTGTTTGTAACAATTTGAGTGAAAGTAGACTGATGATTTAAAATTGTCAGATGTGCAGTATCAGATATCAAATGTTAAAAGTTACCTGCTCTTTAAGTATTTCTGGCTAATGCTAGAGCTGGGATCAGTGACAGGAATGGAGAAAAGTGTTTTGATGGGTAGAAGATAAAGCCCAAATAGTAACAACCAAAGTATATCTCCCATGGCTCAAAAAATGCCTTAGAAGAAGTAACTAGGATCAATTTGACCTCTTACCCAAGAAAGTATATCATAAATCCCCTTTAAAAGTTGAGTTTAATAATGCCAAATATATTATAATTTCTGTTACTTATGTTTTAAAACAATAGTTATTTGTTTAAACTAAGTTATATAAACTAACCTAGGTCGTGATAAAGAGGAAAACACCGTAGAACAACAGCTTGTTGGGCATTATAATCCCAAAAAAATACAGTGTTTGGTGGAATTGATTGCCTTCTCCTAGAATGTCTGCTCTGACAGTTACTGCAGTTTGGCCTATTTTCCTCACTGGGCTACCTATAAAATAAACTTAATCCCAGCCCAGGAATAATATAGTATAGAAGTGATTAATAATGTTTCTCGGGTAGAGAGGGAGGTGGGAGGGGGGATCGGGATGGGGAATACATGTAAATCCATGGCTGATTCATGTCAGTGTATGACAAAACCCACTACAATATTGTAAAGTAATTAGCCTCCAACTAATAAAAATAAATGAAAAAAAAAATAAAGTTGAACAAAAAAAAATAAAAAATAATGTTTCTCAGTCAGCTGGTAGTGCGTCCTTCCTCACTTTTCTTACTGTCTCCTTGTATACTAATAGGCTGTGCCTAGGTAAAGAGTAGTGGCTCTTCTGAAAAAGCCCTGTCATTGACATAGTAAAGCTAGATCGAGAAACGAATAGTGTTGCCATGTGAGCTGGATGGCAAAGTCCAGTGTAGCAGCTCTCTTAGCCCAGTGAGTCTCCTCTCACGTAATTGGTAAATTAGGGAATGCTTTCTATTAAGTAACCTTAAAGTTTTTGAATGTCTTTAAACTTACCCTTCTCTTTACCAGTCCCACACCATGTGCTATTAAAAGCACATAGCATAGAATTGGTGAAGACAATGTGCTAGCTAATAAAAATTATGTTTTTAAAGACTGTTTAATGGCTTAGGAAAATGCTTAATATATGGTATTAAGTTTAAAGAAATCAGCATATAAAATTTTGTCCAAATTTGAGGTACTTTAATGTTCTAATGACGCAAAAATGAATGTTAAATACAATGCAACATGTACTTTTACCATAGTTAACAACTGCATTTGTATTGCTATTGTTATTTTAAGACTGTCGTGTGAAATTTTCTTTAGGCCTGTTGATTGCATACTGTAGAAGATTTGATGTTGAGATTGGTTCTTCTATATACTATGTTTCCTCCACAATTGGTAAATTTTTGTTTTTTCTTTTTGTTATATTGAGTTGTATCACCTGTAGGAAAAGGTCTAAAAGTAAGGAGTCCTGGATTCTAATTCTTCACCATTAATTAATAGGATGCTTTTTCCATCCAAAAGAGATATAGTTTAAATACCCTATATCACAAGGTTTTGATGTTTGAAAAGGAAATTATATATGAAAGAAGATTCTACACATAAAAAGCTTACTAGAGCATATGGCACATAGGTAGTTGATACTAGTATACTACTAGGTTTTTAAAAAATTCTGTGTAATAATTGCATATTAATATAAATAAACTATGGGGACAGTAATACCTGGGACAGCAGAGGTAGTTGTTACTTGTCTTGCTTCTTTTGTTGAAAACAGACAAGAACAAGCAATAAGCCAAAAAATACTTTTCTACTTCTGAACATGTCAAATATATATCTCAAAATCCATACACCAAAATTCTTTATTCTTAGGTAAATGGCCTGCACCAGAGCCACTTAGATACTGTTCTAGAAAGGTTTTTAATTCCACAATGGAATTAAATCTTGTAAATTGAAAGTGTACATCAGCAGTTAGAAAAGGGTTTTTCTAGAAATAGTTACTCTGACAGCAAGAAAGAACAGCTAAATGAGTGAAAGGATGAAGAAAGGGGGGAAAATTATAAAGAAATAATAAAAGCAGTCCGAGGCCATTAAGTATGATACTCCCTAAAGGCATTAACATGTTAGCGTGCAGCACTAGTCAGTGTGATCGAATAAAAAAACATTCAGTGAAAAGACAAAAAAAGACTATAAATTAGGACAACTCACTTAACTTCACTGGTCCTCCATTGCCTCATTGTACTTCAGTATTTGTCCATTGTAACTTTGGGCAACTCTCTTCACTGGTCCTCCGTTGCATCATCTCTAAAACGAGAAGGTGGACTGCATTGTCCGTAAAAACCCTGTGAGTTCCAGTTTTCTGAGACCCAGTGTTCATAACGAGACCCAGGTCATCAGCAAAAGATCAAGTGAAGTTTGATATGCAGTTGTTGAAGACAACCAGGAAGTATATAATCAATATTAGAAAGATTTTTTAAAACAACCTTTGGTACCTGTAGGCACAGATTTTAGTTATCTAGTATGTGGAACAACTTAACATCCTTAATATTAAGGTGGCAGATAACTGAGACTTTCTTGAATCATTATCTTTATCAATGATTAAGGATTAATTATGTTATTAATGATTAATTATAGTGGAAATACTAAACAGTTTCCACATTTTTCAAAAGCTCTGTAGAATGTCTCTCCTGACTACTCTCTAGGATAATAATGAAATTATGAAAAGAAGTCATAAGGCAGAAACATTCTGAGAAATATTGAAAACAAGTACTTTAGTGAGAGTATTAAAATCCACCTTTGATAGCATAAAAATGACTGATACTTGATATTCTTGCAGCCTATGCCATTGGCATGATTCTTACATTTGTTGTTCTGGTGCTGATGAAAAAGGGCCAACCTGCTCTCCTCTATTTAGTACCTTGCACACTTATTACTGCCTCACTTGTTGCCTGGAGACGAAAGGAAATGAAAAAGTTCTGGAAAGGTAGCAGCTATCAGGTATGTGCTTATATCTTGGTTACCAAGTTATGACATTGCCTAACTTTGGTTGGGAACTACTTGTATATATCAAAGCTTTATATATTTATTCTCAAAGCTTTTACATGCCTAAAAGTTGGCCTTGAATTTATCAGGGTGTCCTAAGTTTTTTTCCATCATTTGTCACCTGCTGCATCATCACTTCTCATCCTCACTGCAATCTGATGCCAAAATTCTGGTGACTCAGGATAAAAGTACCAAGAAGCATGGGAGGGCATCAGGGAGAATCAAAACAGCATTTCAACATGACTTTTCAGAATCCACACAAAAGTCGACTTCATGGAAGATAAGAGCCATGTTTAAGCACTAAATTTTGATGCTGACACCACTAGCTGTTGTAGTAAGAGTCCTCAGGTTTGCAGGCAAAAAGTATACTCTCTCCAGCATCTAAATAGGCCCAACCAAATGAAAGTGGGCACTCATTTCAGGTTTAAACGGATCAAGACTGCCTTTTCTGTAAAATTCCTACAACAGAGAATATCCAGGTAGCAGAATCTATGATGTTTGAGTTGTTTCTCCATTGAAGTTAAAGCCCTTTGTTCTTTTCCTAAATGTTATCGGTATTCCTCTAAAGTTTGTTTGTTTGCATTGAAATTAAAGAGAGTTGGGAAACTCTAGCCTGTTGAGGTCAGGGTCATGGCATTGATTCCTTCATGAGGCAGTTAACTCTGCTTTGCCCTATTACAGCAAACTATGTTCCACCATCCACTCTCGTGCTTTTGTTTCAGTGATCGCATGAACAAAACTAAAGATACTTTGGGTAGATAGCTGTAATTCCGTTAGTAGACAAACAGTTCAAAGTTCATATCCATTTTGTGGTTGGTTCTAGTGTCCTCTTTATTTAACAAGAGGTGATTCGCACATTAAGTTAGACTACTATTAACAGAATTGAGAAAAGCACCAGCCTAGAATTCTTTGGGATAAGTCTTGCAATTTCTTTGAGATTAGAATACCTGCCCTTCCTACCTCCCAATTCCAGTTTCTCAACTTGTATTTATACACATAGAATTAGTTTATGGCCACAAGGTCCTTGACTCAACTACTAAGGTAGCTTGTAACTTCCGTGAAGATGACACTCACATGGAATGTTTTACAGATTTTTTTCAAAGTAAAAGTATGTCCTACAGCACAAACTCTAATACTAGTTTTGAAAGTCATATCCTAAGAGGTGCTGTTTGTCATCATTTTTTTTTTAATAGTTATCTGTTTCTTCATTTAGCAAATGTTTATTGAGCAGTTCTATGAGCCAGATACTATTTTAGGTGCTGATGATAAAAGATGAACAAGTTAGAAACAAGCCTACTCTCATAGCCTCTTGAAAGTTAGAGTCTCTTGGAGGATACAGATAGAGTCACTAACAATAAAGTGTGATGAATGCTTTAGTTACGGCAGGGTGCCTTGAAGACTAGAGGTGGGACACCAGTGCTTAAGGTTCTGAGACAGTCAAAGGTGATGTGGGCAAGGAAGACTTCTTAAAAGAATGTTAAGTTTATGTTGAAGCTGTAAGACTGAGCCTTTGTTCCATGTTGAAAGAACCATGACTTCAAAGGCTCAGAGGGAAGAGCTCTGACAGAGTTAGGAACCACATGATGGTTAGAGTGGCCATCCTATTGAATAAGAATAGGGGAGTGCAGGAAATGAAGACTGGAGAAGGAAGCAAGGGAAAGAGGCTGTGTGGACTTACAAGCCACATTAAAGAGCTTGGACCCTCTCCTAAGAACATTGGAGACCATTTAAGAGTTTTAAGAAATCTAGAAAATGGATTGAAAGAAGGCAAATCTTGAGCCAGCTATTAAAATGAGAAGCTGTAGTAGCCAGAATTAACACGGTACTCAGACTGAGAGAAGAGAACAAAGTCAAGAGAAATTTAGAAGCCTAATAAATGTGACCTGGTGATAGATTCAGTTAGGGAGAAGAGAAGAAAGTAGAATCCAGGGTTTTTGGCTTGAGTAACTGAGTGGGTAGATAGTGATACCATTCACTGAGATTAAGAAGGGCAACAGATTTGAGATAAGATGATGAATTCAGTGTTGGAAATTTCAAAATACCTAGAGGACTACCAGGAAAAGAGAAATCAGCAGCTGAATAAACATCTGATATGCAGGAGATAGGCCTAACTAGAGACAGAAATTTGGGAGTGTTACTAGCATTCTCTGAGTGAGTGAGAATGTAGAGGCAGAAGAAAAGACTCAGGACAGAACTGTGACCAAGATATTTCTACTTTTAGGGGCACTTAACTTATTAACTGATTATGAGGTAAATCAGGAGGAGGAGGATGATCAACACAGGGAAACTTTGTTTAGGGTTGGCATTAAGTCTTTTTTAAGTTAGCATTTAAATTTGGGACAGCTAGTGAGAGCACATGGTACCGTCATATGGAATTAAGTATGTTTGCTGTTATTTTCATCACCAGTATTTCATTTTTACTTGTAAATTTTTCTTTCTCCTTTAGTACAGATTTAAGGGTGCGGTGGTTTATTATAAGCACCTTTCCTCCTTTCTCTTTCTATGCTGTTTATTGAGGAGAAAGGAGATGCTAGGTAAGAATGGATTTCAACCAAGGGATGCATTTATATTCCCTATGAATAAGTGCTCTGCCCTGGACCATCTGAATTTTACTCTTAAAAATCATGACTTTGAAATGATGATTCTACTTCATAGCAGCTGCTGCTGCTGCTGCATCACTTCAGTTGTATCCGACTCTGTGTGACCCCATAGACGGCAGCTCACCAGGCTCCCCCGTCCCTGGGATTCTCCAGGCAAAAACACTGGAGTTGGTTGCCATTTCCTTCTCCAATGCATGAAAGTAAATAGTGAAAGTGAAGTCGCTCAGTCGTGTCCGAATCTTAGCGACCCCATGGATTGCAGCCTACCAGGCTCCTCCATCCGTGGGATTTTCCAGCCAAGAGTACTGGACTAGGTTGCCGTTGCCTTCTCCATTCATAGCAGCTACTATAAAATTTAAGATTATTGGAGCTAGACCCAAAGCCATAGTAAGCACCCTGGAACTGTGGACTCCAGGGCCTTAACTTTAAGACACAGAAGCTAACTAAAAGAATTGATTGTAGGAAAATCCATTTTAAAGAGTCTGAAAAGTTAGGACAGTTTTGGTTATACACTTCTCACTTATAGTGTGGTATCATAATTTCACTGGAGAAGGAAATAGCATCCCACTCTAGTATTCTTGCCTGGAGAATCCTATGGACAGAGGAGCCTGGTGGGCTATAGTCCATGAGGTTGTGAAGAGTTGGACATGACTGAGTGACTAACACACACGCACACACATCATAATTTCATTAGGTAAGACATTCAGAATTCAAATACCACATAGTAATAAACAGTACGGAGTCTGGTGCCAGACCACCTAAGTTTGAAGTTTTGTTAATTATTAGTAATGTGACATTAGGCAAGTTACTTAACTTCTCAGTGCCTCAGTTTCCTCCAGTGTAAGATGGGATGGGAATCAGCCTACCTCACAGAGTTACAGATTCAAACTGCTTAGCACAGTATATGGCACATCATTAGCACTATAAATGTATTTGCTATTATTATTTGTATGAATTGAGTTTTTTTGTTTGGTTTAATTTGTTGCTTTGGTGATCATCTTTCTCTTCATTAACTGATTTCCGTTTTCCTGTTTTGAATATTAAAACTTTGGATATTTGTTAAATCTGCTTTCTTAACTTACTTGCGAAAGGCCATCACAAGCCTCAGAGAAAAGATTTTGTTAAACATGGTCATTTTCCTATAGTGCACTAAATTTTAAAATATTATGAATGGACATTTGCTGAACTTTTAGGCGAGCTAGTTGCAGAATATTATAAACTGCTACCAGGAGATAGTCTATTTTTCCCTACAACTAGGGCTTCCCTCATGACTCAGATGGTGAAGAATCTGCCTGCAATGCAGGAGACCCAGGTTCAATCCCTGGGTCGGGAAGATTGCGTGAAGAAGGGAATGGCTGCCCACTCCAATATTCTTGCCTGGAGAATTCCATGGACAGAGGAACCTGGTGGGCTACTGTCTATAAAGTCACAAAGAGTCAGACACCACACACACACAGCCTTAATAAAAGTTATAGAATGTGATGCTTTCTGTTAATGTGAAAAAGAAAACCTCTCATTTCTTTTGTCTAACCTTTAAGGTCCAAGTTAATTTAGCTTGAATGTTGTTATTTGTGGGAGACAGTATTATGATAGACTTTGGCATCAGTTCTGGCAAGTTAATCTCTAAAGATTCCTCATTCATCAAGTGAGGTTGGATCTACAGGCAGGTAGGAGAATCTAATCTAAAGAGATCAATTAGCCCAAGGCCTTGAAAGGCAAGTGGATGTTGAAATCAGATAAAGCTGGTAGAGGCTTTGGAAGTAGAACAGGGAACCTCAACAAGTCTGGCAAAATAAAGGCAGGCTATATCGGAACTTAGTGTAGGAGAGACCTGAGGGTCAGCCCTGAAGACAACCCTCAGGTAGTTACTGGTTCATCTCTTTGGCTAACAGTTCGCTCTTCTCCCCTACCTCCATTGTCTGTTCCCAGAGTATCTCTTATATAACTCCCAGCTCAAAATCTGCCATCTCTAAGCAGATACCCAGGAGTTCTCCATTTGAAATTAGGTTCACCTTTCCCCATACTTTCTTTAGACTTTGATGTTAAATACTTATTAACATCTGCCTTGTAGTGTAGATATTTATGAAGGAACGCCTCCCCAGGTAGCACTAGTGGTAAAGAAACTGCCTGCTAACGATGACATGAGACATGGGTCGTTCCTCTGGGTCGGGAAGATTTCCTGGAGTAGGAAATGGCAACCCATTCCAGTATTCTTGCCTGGAAAATCCCATGGACAGAGGAGCCTGGTGGACTACAGTCCATAGTGTCACAGAGAATCGGACATGACTGAGCACGCACATCCTCACTAATTAGCTCCTAGATGTTAGGAACCCACAGTGCTGATAACACTGTTTTACACACAGTAAATTCTCAGTCTATGTTTATTGATATTATTCATGCAAAGTAATTAGAATGTTCAGTCCTTAATCCACTGACCTTTTTAATCACTTTTGTGTGTGTGTATAAATTTTTGGATTGTGTTTTAGCAGTCTTCAAAAAATTGCCGGAATTGTTACAAGGTGTAAAAGTAATGGCACTTTTTAAATACTAAACTAGACTTCTGTATCTCTACAGTCTTTATATAGAACCATTTTGCAAGTGCTGAAAGTTTTGGCTGCTGTTTGAAAGAATCAAATGTAAACTAAGTAACACAAATTAAAACCAGAGTCTCAGGTGGTGTCCCGTTGGTTTATGCCGCTGTCGTTTGGTTCGTTCTAATCCCTGATATTAGAGCTGAGTGTAAGAGTAGCAGAAAGCAGGACTTTCCACTGGAAATTTTTAATTCACGGGTAGCCCTGATGACCTTTTTTACATTGTTTTCAAAGGACAAATTATACCTCTTTCATTACTGAAACTTAGAGACTTCATAGAAATACTTTAGTATTTTACTTAAAGTCTTTTAGCCCTTCCATGAATTCCTCTGATCAAGGGAAGTAATGTTTTTCTATAGGATTTCACTAATATACTACTACTTTGGAAACCTTAATTTTATATTCTTTCCTATAGCTAAAAGCTACTTACCCTGTATTTTTTATGAACTTTTTTTTCTGGATTGCTTCAAGAGCTACAGTATTCAGTTTCATTTATTTTCTAGTGAGTGTAGAGAAAGTTAAGGTGTTCTTTCTCTACAGAGAAACTTGAAGCCATGGCATAATTATTCTGGCACATAGAACAATTAATAGAAAATTGTTTGGGGAGAATTTTTTTTGCTTCTAATCCTAAATCAGTGGAGTTAGATTTATGCAGCAACCTCCAATGGGTGGGAAGTAAGTTTTCAGTTTGTTAATATTCAGTAAACAGTGAGTTTGTCTCTGCTAAATGTCACTAGTGCTTCTAATTATTTTTAGAAGTCACAAGCTGTAACTGACAAGTCAAAATATAGAGATACTTCGAACAGCTCTGCTGCAGTATCAGCTGCTCTCCAGTCACTGCAGCAACATGAGCACTTTTATTCATCTGTTTCAGGAGATTGGTTCAGAGCTATCAGTAAATGCCGAGTTAGCTGACCCAATTTCAGAGGACATCTTTCTAACTTGAGCTTGCTTATTTACTATGAAAAAATAATTATTTATTATGATAAAACAATTTACATTAATTTTGCCAGTTAATTTTATACCTATGTTAATTTTTGTTGTGTTTTTAAAAACCTATTTCAAGTTTGCACTTCTCTGTTTCTGTACTATTTTTATTGAAAAGTCAGTGATGAAAAATAAATGCAGAGTAGAGATATTACTTCTCAATAAGTTGGTTTTACAAGTTTTTTTTTTAATATCTCTTTATTTAGAAATTAGATTACTATACCAATGAGGTACTAAAGGATTAGGAAAGAAGAAGCATATTATAACTTAGAGTGTGTAGACTATTACTTCATTAGGTGACAGCAGGATCAGCAGGTCTTGGAGAAGAGTGTTTCCCCACCATCCATTCTTCACTTCTCTGTCCCCACAGCTCCAGCCTCTTACACCCAGAGTGTCTACATTGCTGGAAAAAAAGGGGCCTAAATATATCTTATATGCTTCTCCTTTCCCTCTCATTTAAATTGTAACCAAAATCAGCTCTTCAACAACTTCATCTTTTCTATTACCTATCTTGATTTGGGCTTTGCTCCCTCACTCCAGAAGTGCTATGAATATGCAGTTACTATAATCTTAGGGATATCTTTGGCAAATAGAGGACCACAAAACTGATTGTTTAGGGGCTTGAAATGATTCATAGAATATAAGCAGGTTTGGGTTTTATAATCTGACTCCATCACTTGAGACAGTTGTCAGCTGAAAGCTTCAGCTCATGTTTGTATTCTTCGTCTGGCAAGTTCCAGAGACCCCATTTGGAATTATTCTTTTCTCTGCTCCCTCTCCCAAAAAACACTAAAGCTTTTAGACTCAGATTTTTAAAATAGGAATATTTATCTTGTCTTCTACTTCTTGATGAAGGAGAAGGGAAAAAGTATATCAGTTCAGTCAGTCACTCAGTCATGTCCGACTCATTGCAACCCCATGGACTGCAGCACACCAGGCTTCCCTGTCCATCACCAACTCACAGAGCTTACTCAAACTCATGTCCATTGAGTCGATGATGCCATCCAACCATCTCATCCATTGTTGTCCCGTTTTCCTCCCTCCTTCAATCTTTTCCAGCATCAGGGTCTTTTCCAGTGAGTGAGTTCTTTGTATCAGGTGGCCAGGGTATTGGAGTTTCAGTTTCAGCATCAGTCCTTCCAATGAATATTCAGGGCTGATTTCCTTTAGGATGGACTGGTTGGATCTCCTTGCAGTCCAAGAGACTCTCAAGTGTCTTCTCCACCACCGCAGTTCAAAAACATCAATTCTTTGGCACTCAGCTTTCTTTATAGTCCAACTCTCACATCCATACATGACTACTGAAAAAACCATAGCTTTGACTAAATGGACCTTTGTCAGCAAAGGAATGTCTTTGCTTTTTAACATGCTGTCTAGGTTGGCCATAGCTTTTCTTCCAAGGAGCAAGTGTCTTTTAATTTTATGGCTGCAGTCACCATCTGTAGTGATTTTGGAGCCCAAGAAAATAAAGTCTGTCACTGTTTCCATTGTTTCCCCATCTATTTGCCATGAAGTGATGGGATTGGATGCCATGATCTTCATTTTCTGAATGTTGAGCTATAAGCCAACTTTTTCACTGTCCTCCTTCGATTTCATCAAGAGACTCTTTAATTCTTATTCGCTTTCTGCCATAAGGGGTGGTGTCATCTCCATATCTGAGGTTGATATTTCTCCTGGCAATCTTGATTCCAGCTTGTGCTTCATATACCCTGGCATTTCTCATTATGTACTCTGCATATAGGTTAAGTAAGCAGGGTGACAATATACAGCCTTGACATACTCCTTTCCCGATTTGGAACCAGTCTTTCATTCCATGTCCAGTTCTAACTGTTGCTTCTTGACTTGCATACAGATTTCTCAGGAGGCAGGTCAGGTGGTCTAGTATTCCCATCTCTTGAAGAATTTTCCACAGTTCGTTGTGATCCACACAATCAAAGGCTTTCGCATAGTCAATAAAGCAGAAGTAGATGTTTTTCTGGAAATTGCTTGCTTTTTCAATGATCCACAATTTGATCTCTGGTTCCTCTGCCTTTTCTAAATCCAGTATTTAAATTTAATCACTAATCTAAAAATCTTTGACAGTCTTTAGAAAGACATGAAGTTGGTTTTTTTTTTTTCTATTTTTAGGTAGTTTTATATGAAGAACAGGATAAAAACACTGAAAATATTTAAGCAGTTTTTTCCTTTATTCCCAAATATGATAAGATTTTTATGAGAATATGAGAAGAGTTGAAGTGATCATTTGAGAAAAGTTTTAACTGGTAATTCTGCTAAAATAGTCTATAGCAAATGTATTATTCTTGCTTTTGTTTTTAGATATCATTTGACCTTTAAGTACTTTAAATTTCTTTTTTCTTAGTAGAAATTTTTTTCATACAGTCTTTTAAAAATCTCATATGTCATTTTTTTTTTAATTTTTTTTTTTAATTTTTTTTTTTTCATATGTCATTTTTAAATTATCCTAAGGTCAATATTCAAGGCATCAACCAGGTTACACTGTCCCTGAACCAGCATAGTGATTTGTGGAGCCAGTTTTAGTTTTCTACCTCCAGGAGTGGACACTGCTTGAAACAGAGTCCTACAATAAGCATCAGGAATATCTTGTGGTGGAGTCTCCATTGCCACACAGTGCGATATTCATATTGGGAGATGGAAGTAGTGGAAGATCCGGAGAAAGCACTTATCAGATTGGCCCTGAGTCCAGTGATTATGCTTCCTGAAGGAGTTGTCACCCTGAGCATGTCCTGAGGAATGTGGCTGTGGAAATAGTACATTGCTCCAAAAGGAGTGCTTGGTTCAGTGGGACACTCTGTGTCTTTTTTTTTTTTTTTTTAAAAACTCAGAATCCTTTTGCCAAATTAGTGACTGGGGGCAAGTTGAAAATTTACATTTCCTAACATCTTTTATTTATGCCTAGATGATGGACCATCTAGACTCTGCAACAAATGAAGAAAACCCTGGGACTGCTGGTGAACAGATTGTCCAACAATAATATTATGTGGACGTGCAATAATGTGTCGATTGATTTTCTACAAATAGAGTTTGACTTTTTAAATTGACTTTTGAATTGACAATCTGAAAGAAACTTCAATGATATGCTTGCAAATATGTATCTGTAAGAGCTGGTACTGACAATTACATGATAAATAATTAAAATACGATTGCTTTTAACTATGTTAAAGTTGTGCCTTCACATTAAATAAAAGCATATGGTCTGTGTAATTTTCAGGATGTATTATATATAGTATATTTTTATAAAAAAAAACTCTTCACCCACCCCTGTACTTGTCTTAAAGTCTGTTTCTTTCAACTCTAATGATAGATAAAAGTATTTGTCAAAGTGAATTTCTGAGCAGATTTTACTGTAAAGAATTATGCCAACTTTATGCTCTATAGAGCTAACTGTTTAAGATCATTCAAGAAGGCAGTTCAGCAGAGGAATTTTGGACCTTTTATCACTGCAGAGGTTAGAAATACATGATTTGGGAATACAGATAAAAGTGTATTTTTGTAGCATAAGTTTTAAAAAATCCCACTCCTTTTTTAAACTTGAGAACCTAAATTACTTCAGATTACATATGTGTTATATTAGAATATTTTTCCATTTATAGAAAAACATATAAAACTAGTCATTTGAAAGGAAACAAAAATTGAAATCCACATTTTTCAGTGGTCTTCTGTTTCCTTGAAGATGTAGCTTAAATTTCTAAACTAACCTGTAATTCCACTGTGGTATTTCTGATCTCTGAAGTTTGGATCTGCTAATGTTAAGACTTAATATTTTGTAAAAATTATTTTTCTTAGCAAATTATATATTAATACATATGACTCATTGCTTGAGTATTAACATCTCTAATAATCCCTTCCTCTATCTTTCCCCTCCCCCCAATTCCTACTCCTTTCCCCATGGGAGACCACTGTTAGCTTTTTAAAATTTGGGTGAAGCATGGTTTACTAATATACAAACTGTGCTTCAGAGGAAAGAATTGGAGACAGAAGACAAGATACTGGGTGTTAGTCTCAATTTAATTACAAAATTTGAGTAAATTTTATTAGCTCAATGCAGTTGTATCTGTTTTCTCATCTGCAAAGTGAGTTTGTTAAACCAAGTAATAACTCTGCTACCATCTAACTTGAAAAATTTTTCTTTCTTTGTTCAATCTCATATGTGAACTTGAACATTATCCTGCAAGTCATAGGTCAAATTGTCTATTTTCTTTTCTCTTAAGAAATCCCCAAATGAAAAGTGATTGCAAAGATAGCAAGATTTTGTATTTCTCTGTAAATAATGTATAAGATATGTGAACACATCTATGATTTTTCATTATAAGGCCAGTTTAACTGATTAAAAGATAAAGTTAACACCTTTCAAAAATGGATCAAACCTTTGATGTTTGACCTAAGTTTAACATTTGAGGGAATTAGATGCTTTTGATTCATTGATATCTTCCCAGATTGTTAAGTTACTGAGTAATTTACAGATATAGAAGCTCCCTTGACAGCCCTTCTTTCTACTTAATAGACTTATGGGTCACTTGGTTTATGGCAAATGACAAATAACTATCTGACAAGTAAGAGTTTATGTTGATTTTGCCTCCATAATATCAAGTTTGACTTTTTTCCAAAGAATCTAATTTATTTGGCAGACTCGGATAGAGAGAAGAACAGATTAAGTGCCAGGTGAAAGCTCCTAACTATATTTTCATTTATAATATCAATAAAATGTTTGCCAAAAATACAGGTTTCTTAAGTAAAGTTATCTGCACTCTTATTCCAGCTTTAGGATATTCAAAAACTTTGACCACATATTATGAAGAAGCTACAGAAAATTTTATACCTAGAAAACTGGAATTTTAGTTCTTTGATACAAATTCTACTTTATCCAACCACTAGTAAGAAGGTAAAATCTTGTTCTAGTTTGCTATTTAAATCTTACTGATTAAATAGAAAAAACAAAAAGTGAAATTCCTTGAGTTTCTTTGTCTTCAATGTCAACTTTGTATTACTTAATCCTTCTAGCAACTGAACTGAAAATATTTATAAAAATTACAGTAAAGTGCAGAAATGTTTTATTTGGGGAATCAAAATATGAACAAGGATAGGAAAGATGAAAGTTTGCATTTAGAAGACTGTATCATTTTTTCTCAAACTGTAGAAGTAGATGATTTTTACTTCATTTCAACAAAGGTAAACATGAGTTTTGTGGGAAAGGACTTTGAAATTCTGCTACATTGTTTTCTTCTAGCTTTTAGATTTTTTTAAGACTAGCAATATTTTATTTGTAGACTCAGCGATTTATTTTTCTTTTTAAGGAAGAAAGTTTTAACCCTTCTGTTGGCATTCACTGATTTTAGTTACATGTTCATAGAGATTTTGATGAAATGGTACATTTGTAGTAAATACAAATGAGCTTTTCAGTTTTCCTTTGCTCTTTTAATTTCTGCCTTGTGTGCGCACGTGCTGTCACTTCAGTCATGTCTGACTCTGCAAACCTATGGGCCATAGCCCACCAGGCTCCTGTATACATGGGATTCTCCAGGCAAGAATACTGGAGTGGGTTGCCATGCTCTCCTCCAGGGAATCTTCCCGACCTAGGGATCAAACCTGCGTTTCTTGTGTATCCTGCATCAGCAGGCAGGTCCTTTACCACTAGCGCCACCTGGAAAGCCCAATTTCTGCCTTAGGTATAAGCAAAATTTATTTTCATATTTGAACTAATTTATTTAAGATTTGTCTCTAAAATTTCAACCTAATCTCAGTTAATGAGACTTCAAATATAGAAATTGCTTTTCAAACTAGTGGATTATACTAGTTTGAAGGCTTTGTATTTTCCCATTAACAAGGGAAAATGCTGAATTTATTCAAGATGATGCCAGATAACCAGTTTTGCAGTTTAAAAATTTGTTGATGTTTTCAGTGCTCTATTTACCTCAGAGGTAACTCTAAAGGGGGTTGGGGAGGGTAATGAAAATAAAATCAAAATCCTGGACAAAAAATCATTTTATGGTTCCTGCAAGAAAGATACTCTGTAAATTCAGGAGATCTGAGTCAAGTTACTGAACATTTTGGAATCTGAAAGAAATTATGTGGTACTTATGATTTGATCATAAGAGTATTATAGTGGCCATATTACAGTAAAGATTATAAATGTCCTTGTTTAATGTTTCCATAATTAAGGACAGCTTTTGTATCTAAGAAAATGTTCATTGGGGGAAAATATTTTAAACTAGGTTTTTTAGAATAGTCTAACATTGTTGGCAATTAAGGGACAACTAAAAAAAATGTAGAATATTTAATGTCATCATGTATTTCTTTGATTAGGCATAAAATGTATCATAAACAACTGCTTTTCCTTCAGAATATGGATTTTTTTTTTCAATATCTAAAATTTACCTGGTCAGCCTATAGGATTTCCCAGTGAGACAAGTCAGTATAAATTAGGTGAATTTTGCCCTTTTATACCTTCTGTTGTCTTTTTATCACATGAGAACCTATTTTAAAATACATGATTGAATTTTTACTTATTAAAATTTTGTGTGGAATTCTTTTCTTTTAACCCTTTGATATGTTAGTGTAAATTAGTACTTTTATAATACTACTAGGCTTTATTTTTTTATGGAACATGATTTAAAAATTTTCAACGTGTTAATTTGGCAGTGCTTTAAATCTCTTCATTATGTGCCAATACTGACAAGAAAAAGTTTTTTTAATGTATTGAATTCACTATGTATTCAATAAATTCTATTTTAAAATAAAATTTGACTTTGTTTTCATTTGAAAAATAATTGAAAATGAACTGAAAGCTACTAGATCTTGTTCACATAAGATAAAAATCATAATAATCACGAAAATGTGTAGTTATTTTAACTCTGACAAATTATCCATAACCTAGATTCCACAAATATCATTTACTAGAAATTTCTATTGATACATAATGACCCTTAAGAAGTATTTATTGAATTGATATATGTATAGACTTTTTTAAACCAAGAAATTATCATACCCTTTGTAATGAATATCCCTAGCATTTGCAGCTTTGCTGATATTCTCACAAGTTACTAAGATTCCTGCTGCCATTGTACTGTTTTTTGTTTTTTTAACTCACATGTGGATGGCCCAGATATATGTGTCTTGACCACATGTTAAGGAGTCCTATCCCCTCTATGCATTAAAGTCGCTTCAGTCATGTCTGACTCTTTGCCACCCCCATGGACTGTAGCCCACCAGGCCCCTCTGTCCAAGGGGTTCTCCAGGCAAGAATACTGGGGTGGGTTGCCATGCCCTCCTCCAGGGGATCTTCCTGAGTCAGGGATAGAACCCGTGTCTCTTTATACCCCCATGGCAGGCAGGTTTCTTTACCACTAGTGTCATCTGGGAAGGGATTTTGTTTCATTCCACAGGCCCATATACCTGAAAAAGATGCGTAAGAAACTGGAAAGAGAGGCTGTCTTTAGGAACAGAGGGAGTATGATGGCTTGAGCACAGCAATGAGAGGGAGACTTATTTTTCATCGTATACTCTTGTACCACTTACATTTTCCGTCATATATATATAGGGAGCCCTATACCAAGGTTAGTTCAGTTCAGTCCAGTCGCTCAGTCATGTCTGACTCTGTGACCCCATGGACTGCAGCATGCCAGGGTCACAGAGCATAAATCTCTGGAAGTGACTAAACCCCATAGCAGCTGTTGCCATTAGCCTTAGGATCTAAACCAGCCGGTTCCCTAACGCCATACTAGGTAAAATACCTACCCTCTAGCATCCTAGCCAATCACCTAATATCTCCCTTCCAGTAGGAATTTTCTGTCTTGAGGCTATAAAAATTGACTACTGACCTGCGAAAGGGGTCGGCTCTCGCTTGAGCCAGCCCGCTGTTCTAACAGTGTCTCTCACTCATAAACCTGATTTTCCTCTCATTCTGCCTCATGTCTGGAAATTCTTTGCCGATCCATGCACAGACCCCGACAATATACATCTATTAAGATTCAAAAT